TGATAGTTTATATTGATGATGTTCTAGTATTCTTTGAATCTCTTGAACAACATTTTAAACATCTTTATACTTTTATTCACACAGTTAAAAATGCTGGATTAGTAGTCTCTGCTAAAAAGCTAAATCTTTTCCAAACAAAAATTAGATTTTTAGGACATAATATAAATCAAGGGACAATTATCCCAATTGATAGATCCATTCTCTTTGCTGATAAATTTCCTGACAAAATTTTAGATAAAATTGAATTACAAAGATTATTAGGATGTCTGAATTATATAAGTGATTTTTACCAAAATCTAGCTCTTGATGCTAAACCCTTATATGACCGATTAAAGAAGAATCCTCCACCATAGACTGATGTCCATACTTTGGCTGTACAACGACTTAAATTAAAAGCCAAAGAATTACCAAGTTTAACTTTATCTAATCCTACAGCTTTTAAATAATTGAATGTGATGCTTCTGAATTAGGTATTGGTGGTATATTAAAACAATCAGTTGATTCTAAAGAACAACTAATACGATTTACTTCCAAAGCTTGGAATCCTACACAAAAAAATGATTCTACTGTGAAAAAGAAATTACTTGCTATTATTCACTGTGTTTGTAAATTTCAAACTGATATTTTAAACTAACACTTTCTTATTCGCACCTATTGTAAAGCCACAAAAGATATTCTGCAAAAAGATGTTCAAAACCTTGTTTTAAAACAAATATTTGCCCGATGGCAGGCCATTCTATCTACCTTTGATTTTTCTATTGAGCATCTTCACGGCTCTGCTAATTCTTTACCTGACTTCCTTACCCGTGAATTTTTGCACGGGGGACCGTACATTACCCACACTTCCCGAAGAAGCTAGACTTTCCATACGTTTTGCAACTATTTCTTGCCAATAAGAATATCAATATGAATAATCCTCCAAACAAAAGAGGAAAACAACCTATGGATTTAGTACCAAGTAATATGTCTAGGCCTCTTATGCCCAGCTATCCCTCTTTGACTCTGACACCTATGTCACCTCTTCGATTTACAAACATACCTAAATACTTGATTCAAACTCCTACTCAAAGTTCAATACAAACCCCAAGTCCGGCATTTTCTCCTGCAACATACCCAAATAAGCAAACCTCTACTGCTACTAAGTCAGTCTATATAGACACAACATTCCTAGCAGATATACCCATTTCTGATAACCATGCACAAATTGACCCAAATAAATTGTCTCCCCTTTACCTTGTAAACCATTTAAATCCATCACATGGAGTCAAAACCCGTGAATGGTATGAATCCATTCTCATGGAAACCGGTTCAGTTTCGATTGTTCATTTTTATCAAGGAACTACTAAAGTATATGCTTATTCACAATTTCAAATCAAAAAATTACTTTCGTATGAAGATTGGGGATGTAATCCTCTCCAAGGGAAAAAGTTGTTAAATCCAGAATTTCAATATAAATATTATAAATATGCTGAGTACATAGAAGCCTGGCATAAGGTATTCTCATACCAGAATCCAAATAATACTCACTCTTGGTACTTGTAATTTAAACTCCCTATTTACGAAAGATTCCCAAACTGGTTCCGCCACTGGTTTTTATTATGGGGATCGCAGACACAAATCTTACCAGATTCTTTTCAAGCCTTTCAGACCAAATTCGCACAACATAATACTTGCACCGAACTAGATGATTTTCATCTCTACTTCATGGCCATCTACCAAATACCTTGGATCCTAAATTGGGATTATGCCATCTTTGAAAATAATACACATAATTATGAGTACATTCCTAAACTTGGCAAAACCATCAAAATTAAATGGTGGGATAGTTTTAGTATTGATCCTGCCTCCTTACCCCTTAAACGCATACCTCCTCAGAACAATATCCTAAACCCACATGCACATAATACAGTCAGCCTACCTACATTTTCTGCATATTTGAAAAAAATGAGACTAGCACACCCTAATGCTACCCTTGAAGAATTAAAACAAAATCTTCTCAATATCTTTGCTCCTGATACTACTGCACCTACTACTTCAGAAGAGACAGTTCAATCTGGCAATCCATTGTTAGAAGATTTCAGCCAGAGGCCCGACCAATAATTGCTACCCGATACTACGACCCGACCAATACAATCAGCATCAGCAGTAGCCTCCATGATAAGACGCAAAGCAAATTCTTATATTTACCTTTATTCGCGACATGACTCCACTTTATGCACGATATGACTCCACCTACAGTAATATTCACGACATGACTTCAACCACAGTAACACCTTCTTCGACAGACCGCTACGTAGCCTCATTATATTCGCGATGTGACCCCAACTACAGTCACACCTTCCTCGAATGCTCGCCACAAAGCCTCAAGCACAGTACCAGAGATTCCTCCGTCACATCAATCCTCCGGCAACCAATACACAGCCACCACAAACTCGACAAAACTCCGACAACAATGAGTCACTTCAACTTTACATCCCATCCTTCGCCTTTAACTCCTCTCACTGACACAGTAAAGGACCAACGAATCAGGGGTGATACCTTCGACACCAAGTTACCCCGCACCCACTATAAATAACCCCCTTCACTTACCAGAAGACAGGCTTACAAGGACTTCCTGCAGACCTAAGAAGATCAAGCCCAGACCTCTGCTCTTTTCTCTTCCATCTTCTCCTACTCTCTTTTGCTCTTCTCTTCTTTCTGCTCTCTTACTCTTTCTACGACAGTAGCTTAGTACTGTTGTAAATCTACCGTCTCTCAAGTCGGTAACTTCTTACTCTTTACTTTTTGTTAATACATGTGTGATTGTAATTTATCAACTCTACCTTCTTACTGCCCTCACGAATGACAGTCATTTTCCAGCTTATATATTTGTAATAATCCGTAAGTGTGTATTATTTTCCTGTATTTCTTTTCTTGGATCAATATATGTGATTATTATGTTTTTCCGCAATGCAATTTAAATTAGTATTTAGCATAAAAATTC